GTAGTTCCCAACACACTACTCCCTACTTTAGACTTAGTAATTACTCTTACATACATAAATTTAATAATTATTCTAATACTTACAACTCTTGAACATGGAAGACTTCTGATCTCGATGATGCAGTTTGTTTCAAAATCAGTTAGAAGCTGGAAAGTATTTCTTATTTTCAGCTCGGAATTAAATAAAGATGATATTATTGTAATTTTATTTATTGAACTAGGGCCTGTTTCACTCACCTTACTTTAGGACAGAGATGGGGGGCAGGGAAGAAATGGTTTTGCAAATATTAGATTACAATCTCAGGTTTGTTTTTGGCATGCACTGTTTTGCATGAAATCAAGCTTGATAGGTAACATACAAAACTATTTAGATGCTTAAACGATTTTAACGATGAAATGGTCGTAGTGTTTGTGGTAACTGGAAGTTAACTTATCACTGTGTTCACTGCTTTTTCTTTATGATAATTTTTCCATTTCATCACTTTTTATTTCCAAGAAGTTATAATATAATATTAAGCTAAGCCCATTGATGAAATTATTGCCAGCTAGAGGCAAATAAAATTATACTCCCTAAAATGTTAGGATATCCCTCATTTTCTAGTCCTTTAATCTTTTCACTTCCTTTATTTATCCCAAAAGAAGTGTTTTTGTCATTATTTGTTTCTTTTTAGGGTCGAAAGTTTTCAGTTCAAGGTCTTTTGGGGAAAGATATGTGTTCGAGTGCTTTTGTTGATGGAACAGTGGTGGTTTTCCGTTTGGCACCACAGGTATTTGTTGCTTTCTTTCAAAGCTATTTTAAATTTCTATATAATTTGATTTCAAATTTTAATTGTAATATATATTTATTACAGGATTATCACCGTTTCCACTTTCCAGTATCAGGAACTGTTGAGCAATTCGTAGATATCCCTGGATGCTTGTATACTGTATGTGTAATAATAACTTGAGGAAAATGATATTACACACACACACACATATATATATATACATATAATGAGAAAATAGGTTATGCGCACAGATAGTGTAAAGTAAATTTCTCTTCCAATCACATTATCATGTCAGTTTGTTATTTTTACTATAATTACCTTACAGTTCATACTGATGGTGGTTTTTTATTGGTTGACAATATTGATTTCTTTTACACTGTAAATGGATAACCACTAAATTCTCTCTCGATATACACACACATATATATATACTCTCTTATTTTTTGTCAATTCACACTGTTTTCCTGATAGTGTTGCACTCTTCAGGTCAATCCCATTGCTGTAAATAGCAAGTACTGTAATGTTTTCACGGAGAACAAGAGAGTTGTTTCAATAATTTCAACAGTAGATTTTGGAAAGGTTGGTTTGTGTCTGAATTTTATGTTTGACTGTATCCTTCTGAATTTGTTCCTTAGATTTTTTTTTTCCGAGTTACCTATAGTTTGCTGTCTCTACAATTTTATAATTTCAAACCTGTATTGACCAGCATTGTATAATTTGGATTCAGGTGGCATTTGTTGCAATAGGAGCGACGATGGTTGGTAGCATTACTTTTACAAAGAAAAAGGGCGACTCTGTCAAGAAGGGAGACGAGGTTTGTCAAGTTACAGTTGTTACCGGTGTTCGTTTCTTATATGTTGTATTTGTTTAGAAGTGCCATTTGTGTGCTTAATTTACAGTTTGGATATTTCTCATTCGGTGGGAGCACTGTCATTTGCGTATTTGAAAAGGTTGGTATTTCTATTGTGAGAATGTTTGAAATTTATTTCGTTGGACATGGTGTTTATTATTCCTGACTGACATCGCTGACCTGAGTTATATGTTTAGTATATCATACAAATGATTCGTGTTTATCATGTCATTCCTGTTTGAAGAAAAACTATCAGACAAGGGCTAAAAATCCTTTATCCAATTAAATTTAAATGTTTCACTTGATACTGACTAAATATATTACTAAGTTTAGCATGCATGCTCCTTGGCATTTCTATTATATATACAGGCCAAAATTACAGTGTAATATTCAAGATTGACGGAGGATGCCATAATTGATTTTTTAAAATTCAATTTTTTGTAGGATTTTACAAATGATAATCGAGATTGATGCGTTCTCACTTGCTATGCGTGGTTTTAATGAAAATTTGTGGTTTTTATGGCTTAACAGTTGAACAAGTTAATGGATAAATAAATAAGAAAACATAAGCGTAACAGCAAGCCATTTCTTTGGTTATAGGCAATGCAAATATACAATTTGTTAAAGAATTAATATATTTATTACCATTTTGGAAACATCATCTTTACAGAGCTTTTAGCTTAAGATTGAGAAACGCAGTGACATTTTTTTTTTCTTTGCAGGATTCAATTGCAATTGATGAAGATCTTCTGGCGAATAGCAACAGGGCACTCGAGACCTTGGTTTCTGTAGGGATGAGATTGGGCGTCTCCACGAGAAAATTGTCTTGACATTGGATTGATTTGGAAATGTTGAAATAGAATAATAATGAGAGTTCTTCTCCCAATTTGTAAAGTAAATCTTTTACAACCTCATGATTTCGTGTAGATTGATCTAGATAGAAACATCTGGGATAAGTTCGGCCTTGTAGAGATCCATTCTTTATATAAAGAGTAATAAGCATGGACAAATTTATAAAGCAGTGTGATGCATGAACGTATTTACAAGTCATTGCATAACCTCATAACCTGTTTAGTGGTTTAAGATTTAACTTTATACATCATGCACATGGGCTGATATAATGAAAGCAATTTGCATATTAACATTTGAGTAGCTCTTGGTGAATATTGGGCGGGTTACACCTCTTTTTCTTCCCGAAGGAGTTCAGATCTCGATGTACGGCTTGCTTCTGTGAATTGTACAAGTCTGTGATCGCTTCAACTTAGTAAAATGATACCATGAGCTCATCATGTTATTCTATTGTTAATTTAACATTCTATAAGTTTGGTTTGACTGATCCCTTACAACTTTACCTTTATTTCTGTTTCTATTACACCAAACCATTTTTATTGGACTAAAATTTAGGGTCAATAGTCAGAACTGTACTTTGGGTTCATGTATACTTATGAAAAGTGGAAGCATTCGTGTCTTCTTATTCTTTTCTAGACTAGACAGAAAGGAACGAGGTTTCTATTTTATAGGTAAGAGTCTATTTTATTCCAGTAGTTAATTTTCATATTGAGCTATTGTTTATGAGTTTTACTATCTTTTTTTAACTCAATTTACTCGAACTAGTTATTGACTTATTTATTTTATCTCATTCAAACGTTAAAAATAGTTATATACGAAAACATGAAGAATGTTTATGTATATTATTAATGAGATAAAATTAAATATAAAACTGATAGAATAATTTAGAATCAATAGATTAGGACTATTTTGACAACCATCTTTACTTGGTTGCTAAATGTTATATGCATTTGCATAAGCTCATTTTAATCTATTTCACTACATTTTATGAATAAATGTCAAGGTAAGTTATTTAAAACTTCTTTAATGATTATTGCTATTAACTTTGTAAATAAATTCTTCATTAACAAGACTTATTCAATACAAAAATAGCTAATTACAGAAAAATAGCACAAATATGTAAAAAAAAAGTTAAACTGCTTATTTTAATTATATTTTTTACGGAGATAACTTGTCTTTTTAATCAAAGCTACTATTATAATCTCATTTACATGTTTGAATTATAAAATATATTAAACATTTCAATATTTCAATATTTACAAGTTATAAATTAAACTAGTATACACATAAAGTTTAATCATTTTTCATATTTAAAATTATGGGCATCTAATGTTTACTTTTTTTAAAAATATTTCTATGAATTTCACGTAACATTATGGATAATTAATAATAATAACAATATTAATATTATTATTATTAATAATAATATTAATAATAATAATATTTATATTTAAATTTATAGCATATTTATAGTTGATGATTATTTAATTTTTTTTATTAATTCTTTTTAATTTATCACATCTATCACATTATATACAATTTTTTACAAACTTTCTTCTCAAATCTACTAAAAATCACACCATTTTTCCTTAATCTAAATAACACCACAATTATCTTTTCATCTCTTCAAATTCATCAACTTAATAATATGTTCCTCAAATCTTTTCGTCTATCCAAACATATCCTTAGTTTCTATTGTTAGTGAATTCACATGAGGTTCAAACAATATATTGAGTGTGTTTGAATGCTCTTTTATGCTATTTACATTAAATCAATATGGATCATGTCAAAACTAAAATGATTAGTTTTGCCTGTTTTGTAACGACTTTGACATAAAATAAAACCTTCAATTCACTTCTTCATTATCTTAATTGGATGTAAAAAGTGATTAAGGATATGTTTCACACTTCAAAGCAAATGTCAATTTTTTTTCCTATACTTAATACTCTATCAATAATAATAATAATAATAATAATAATAATAATANCTCTTGAACATGGAAGACTTCTGATCTCGATGATGCAGTTTGTTTCAAAATCAGTTAGAAGCTGGAAAGTATTTCTTATTTTCAGCTCGGAATTAAATAAAGATGATATTATTGTAATTTTATTTATTGAACTAGGGCCTGTTTCACTCACCTTACTTTAGGACAGAGATGGGGGGCAGGGAAGAAATGGTTTTGCAAATATTAGATTACAATCTCAGGTTTGTTTTTGGCATGCACTGTTTTGCATGAAATCAAGCTTGATAGGTAACATACAAAACTATTTAGATGCTTAAACGATTTTAACGATGAAATGGTCGTAGTGTTTGTGGTAACTGGAAGTTAACTTATCACTGTGTTCACTGCTTTTTCTTTATGATAATTTTTCCATTTCATCACTTTTTATTTCCAAGAAGTTATAATATAATATTAAGCTAAGCCCATTGATGAAATTATTGCCAGCTAGAGGCAAATAAAATTATACTCCCTAAAATGTTAGGATATCCCTCATTTTCTAGTCCTTTAATCTTTTCACTTCCTTTATTTATCCCAAAAGAAGTGTTTTTGTCATTATTTGTTTCTTTTTAGGGTCGAAAGTTTTCAGTTCAAGGTCTTTTGGGGAAAGATATGTGTTCGAGTGCTTTTGTTGATGGAACAGTGGTGGTTTTCCGTTTGGCACCACAGGTATTTGTTGCTTTCTTTCAAAGCTATTTTAAATTTCTATATAATTTGATTTCAAATTTTAATTGTAATATATATTTATTACAGGATTATCACCGTTTCCACTTTCCAGTATCAGGAACTGTTGAGCAATTCGTAGATATCCCTGGATGCTTGTATACTGTATGTGTAATAATAACTTGAGGAAAATGATATTACACACACACACACACACATATATATACATATAATGAGAAAATAGGTTATGCGCACAGATAGTGTAAAGTAAATTTCTCTTCCAATCACATTATCATGTCAGTTTGTTATTTTTACTATAATTACCTTACAGTTCATACTGATGGTGGTTTTTTATTGGTTGACAATATTGATTTCTTTTACACTGTAAATGGATAACCACTAAATTCTCTCTCGATATACACACACATATATATATACTCTCTTATTTTTTGTCAATTCACACTGTTTTCCTGATAGTGTTGCACTCTTCAGGTCAATCCCATTGCTGTAAATAGCAAGTACTGTAATGTTTTCACGGAGAACAAGAGAGTTGTTTCAATAATTTCAACAGTAGATTTTGGAAAGGTTGGTTTGTGTCTGAATTTTATGTTTGACTGTATCCTTCTGAATTTGTTCCTTAGATTTTTTTTTTCCGAGTTACCTATAGTTTGCTGTCTCTACAATTTTATAATTTCCAACCTGTATTGACCAGCATTGTATAATTTGGATTCAGGTGGCATTTGTTGCAATAGGAGCGACGATGGTTGGTAGCATTACTTTTACAAAGAAAAAGGGCGACTCTGTCAAGAAGGGAGACGAGGTTTGTCAAGTTACAGTTGTTACCGGTGTTCGTTTCTTATATGTTGTATTTGTTTAGAAGTGCCATTTGTGTGCTTAATTTACAGTTTGGATATTTCTCATTCGGTGGGAGCACTGTCATTTGCGTATTTGAAAAGGTTGGTATTTCTATTGTGAGAATGTTTGAAATTTATTTCGTTGGACATGGTGTTTATTATTCCTGACTGACATCGCTGACCTGAGTTATATGTTTAGTATATCATACAAATGATTCGTGTTTATCATGTCATTCCTGTTTGAAGAAAAACTATCAGACAAGGGCTAAAAATCCTTTATCCAATTAAATTTAAATGTTTCACTTGATACTGACTAAATATATTACTAAGTTTAGCATGCATGCTCCTTGGCATTTCTATTATATATACAGGCCAAAATTACAGTGTAATATTCAAGATTGACGGAGGATGCCATAATTGATTTTTTAAAATTCAATTTTTTGTAGGATTTTACAAATGATAATCGAGATTGATGCGTTCTCACTTGCTATGCGTGGTTTTAATGAAAATTTGTGGTTTTTATGGCTTAACAGTTGAACAAGTTAATGGATAAATAAATAAGAAAACATAAGCGTAACAGCAAGCCATTTCTTTGGTTATAGGCAATGCAAATATACAATTTGTTAAAGAATTAATATATTTATTACCATTTTGGAAACATCATCTTTACAGAGCTTTTAGCTTAAGATTGAGAAACGCAGTGACATTTTTTTTTTCTTTGCAGGATTCAATTGCAATTGATGAAGATCTTCTGGCGAATAGCAACAGGGCACTCGAGACCTTGGTTTCTGTAGGGATGAGATTGGGCGTCTCCACGAGAAAATTGTCTTGACATTGGATTGATTTGGAAATGTTGAAATAGAATAATAATGAGAGTTCTTCTCCCAATTTGTAAAGTAAATCTTTTACAACCTCATGATTTCGTGTAGATTGATCTAGATAGAAACATCTGGGATAAGTTCGGCCTTGTAGAGATCCATTCTTTATATAAAGAGTAATAAGCATGGACAAATTTATAAAGCAGTGTGATGCATGAACGTATTTACAAGTCATTGCATAACCTCATAACCTGTTTAGTGGTTTAAGATTTAACTTTATACATCATGCACATGGGCTGATATAATGAAAGCAATTAGCATATTAACATTTGAGTAGCTCTTGGTGAATATTGGGCGGGTTACACCTCTTTTTCTTCCCGAAGGAGTTCAGATCTCGATGTACGGCTTGCTTCTGTGAATTGTACAAGTCTGTGATCGCTTCAACTTAGTAAAATGATACCATGAGCTCATCATGTTATTCTATTGTTAATTTAACATTCTATAAGTTTGGTTTGACTGATCCCTTACAACTTTACCTTTATTTCTGTTTCTATTACACCAAACCATTTTTATTGGACTAAAATTTAGGGTCAATAGTCAGAACTGTACTTTGGGTTCATGTATACTTATGAAAAGTGGAAGCATTCGTGTCTTCTTATTCTTTTCTAGACTAGACAGAAAGGAACGAGGTTTCTATTTTATAGGTAAGAGTCTATTTTATTCCAGTAGTTAATTTTCATATTGAGCTATTGTTTATGAGTTTTACTATCTTTTTTTAACTCAATTTACTCGAACTAGTTATTGACTTATTTATTTTATCTCATTCAAACGTTAAAAATAGTTATATACGAAAACATGAAGAATGTTTATGTATATTATTAATGAGATAAAATTAAATATAAAACTGATAGAATAATTTAGAATCAATAGATTAGGACTATTTTGACAACCATCTTTACTTGGTTGCTAAATGTTATATGCATTTGCATAAGCTCATTTTAATCTATTTCACTACATTTTATGAATAAATGTCAAGGTAAGTTATTTAAAACTTCTTTAATGATTATTGCTATTAACTTTGTAAATAAATTCTTCATTAACAAGACTTATTCAATACAAAAATAGCTAATTACAGAAAAATAGCACAAATATGTAAAAAAAAAGTTAAACTGCTTATTTTAATTATATTTTTTACGGAGATAACTTGTCTTTTTAATCAAAGCTACTATTATAATCTCATTTACATGTTTGAATTATAAAATATATTAAACATTTCAATATTTCAATATTTACAAGTTATAAATTAAACTAGTATACACATAAAGTTTAATCATTTTTCATATTTAAAATTATGGGCATCTAATGTTTACTTTTTTTAAAAATATTTCTATGAATTTCACGTAACATTATGGATAATTAATAATAATAACAATATTAATATTATTATTATTAATAATAATATTAATAATAATAATATTTATATTTAAATTTATAGCATATTTATAGTTGATGATTATTTAATTTTTTTTATTAATTCTTTTTAATTTATCACATCTATCACATTATATACAATTTTTTACAAACTTTCTTCTCAAATCTACTAAAAATCACACCATTTTTCCTTAATCTAAATAACACCACAATTATCTTTTCATCTCTTCAAATTCATCAACTTAATAATATGTTCCTCAAATCTTTTCGTCTATCCAAACATATCCTTAGTTTCTATTGTTAGTGAATTCACATGAGGTTCAAACAATATATTGAGTGTGTTTGAATGCTCTTTTATGCTATTTACATTAAATCAATATGGATCATGTCAAAACTAAAATGATTAGTTTTGCCTGTTTTGTAACGACTTTGACATAAAATAAAACCTTCAATTCACTTCTTCATTATCTTAATTGGATGTAAAAAGTGATTAAGGATATGTTTCACACTTCAAAGCAAATGTCAATTTTTTTTCCTATACTTAATACTCTATCAATAATAATAATAATAATAATAATAATAATAATAATATATTATTATTATTATTATTATTATATATTGAGCACATTCTCTTCACTTTACAGCCATACGAAAATTAATATATATTAGTTGTTAATAATATTATTTTTAGGATTTCAATTTTTAAAAAGTAACAGAAAATAAGAAAAGGATGTATATTCTAAAAGGAGTGGATATGGGGCAGGTGAGCGTTGGTTCAAATTGGGCCTTTCTAAAATTTGTCCAAGAAAACAAAGCTTGGTCCAGTCCGTGTAACCCTAGTTCCTAAAGCCATTAAAACGCAGGGCATTATCACTCGTGGCCTTGTTTTCGCGGCGCACATCAGAACCCTACTTCTTCAGATTCCGGTCGCACGCGCCGTCACAATGGTAACCTTCTCCTCCATCTTTGTTTACTCTCAGTTGTTTTTCATCGTCACTAGATAACTCTGCTACCACCAACTCATCGGCCTTAGACATTTTTTTATTTTTCGAAATCAATTAAATTTTTCTCAAGCCCTAGCTTATTGAATTAGATTTGAAATTGAGGAATATGCCCCTATTTAATTGAGTTGGGGTTTAGGTCGTGTTTGGTATAACGATTTAGTGCTCGTCTTATTGTCGCCGTGAACAGGTAAACGTTCCAAAAACGAAGAAGACTTACTGCAAGAGTAAGGAGTGCAGGAAGCACACTCTGCACAAGGTTACCCAATACAAGAAGGGTAAGGATAGCATCGCTGCTCAGGGGAAACGCCGTTACGATCGCAAACAATCCGGTTATGGCGGACAAACTAAGCCTGTTTTCCACAAGAAGGTAACTCCTTTTGTTCTTTCCATTTATCTGCGTCCTATTTTTTAGTCCATAGATTAAAAACCTTTGTGTTTGTTTGCTGATAGATAAATATTTTTTTATTTTTCTTTCTCTAATAGGCCAAGACCACCAAGAAGATTGTCTTGAGGTTGCAATGTCAGGGTTGCAAGCATGTTTCCCAACACCCAATTAAGGTCAGTGTGTGGACAACCTTACATTTTTCTGGGTTGGTGTTTTTTGGCTCGGGATGTATCTGGCTGATTGTTGGTTTTTATTTATGTTGTGCAGAGGTGCAAGCACTTTGAGATTGGTGGTGACAAGAAGGGCAAGGGAACTTCTCTTTTCTAGGTTGAGAATTAGGATTTGCAGCTTTTGCGTTTCTGCAATGTTGGGATGTTTTGTTTCTGTGTGGATTTATTTGCTAGTTATATTTATTATTTCGCAATACCTTATTATGCGATTGAGAAATGAAAACTAACATCATTGAGTATTCGTTTTCCTTCTCTTGAATTTGTCTTATTGTGCCTATTCTTTTGCTTCTGGGTTGCCTGGTTATTCAGGGTGTCTAGGATAGCTGGTTTTTTTTGGGATCATATATGTGAAGTGCCGTCCGGAAAGTGTCCATACGTCTACTCTTAACTAAATTAAGGAGTGGTTATATAGCAGTTACATTCTCTTACCCTTTTAGATTGTGTCTACCTGTCTAAGTAGCCATTAATTTAGAGGAGCCATGATTTTGGGGGTTTTAGTGAGTCCTCTGACTAAGTTTCAGCCTTGAATTTTAGTTAGTTGTCATTACATTGGTGCAATGAATTTGTTCTGGAGTTTGATACAAGAGTTTATGATAAAACGGCGCAGTTACCAAGTTAAGTTGTCTGGACTTGTCTTAAATAGGTATTGCGAATAATTATTTATAGTTTATTTACGTAAAGTTTCTTTCTGAGTGTAGTATTTTTGTAATCGATATTGACCCTATATTACAGCATCTTTTAGTCTTTCCTTTGGGGTAGAGCCTCTAAATTAGGAGCAAACATAAAATGTTAATTCAATGTATTTATGATATGATCTTAAATTGTTTGCTACGAAATTAAGTTAGGTAAATGTTCAATTTGTAATTCAGTCTAGTTTGTATAAATAACTGGTACGAATAGCATATACTGTATTTGGTCTGTATGAATTGGGTTCTTAGAGAAGAATGGGTGACCTAACCATACATTAAAGTCACCTTGTCGATCAATCCGTCTTTTATCATAGTTGCCATTTTCTTTTTCTTCTTTAATGTGTATGTTAGATATGGTTAAAGATAAAATGAAAAGGTAAAATGACTACGTGCTTGCGGTCTATCTACCTTAAGATGATGAGTAAGAACTAATAGAAATATAAAATGAGATAACTAAGTAAACAAGAAACGTTGAGCAATTGATGACTGATTATTTAACTTTGCTTTTAAAATTAAACGATGTTTTTAAGGAAAAAAAATTAAAACAAATTTTAGTTGAATTTTGTACCATTTTTTTTCTCTCTATAAGGAGTATTGGGCCTAGATTATATTATGTTACTAATTTGATGGAATATATACCATTAAATCAAAAGCAAACTTTCAAAACTAAAATCAATTGAATTTAGATTATCAGTGACATTGAGAATAGCTCCTGAACTGAAGGAACTAGAAGGCACTGACAAATTTATTAAATTGACGTGTTGTACTCTTTAAACATTACTGTATGTAGTAAAGAATTGAGTTATTGAATAATTAATGTCATCGTTAACTTACTGGATACACGAATCGGTTTTAGTATCATATAGTATTTTAAAATTTAACTACTTTGGTTAAAATTCGGTTGGTGTGAATTGGATTGGATTTATTCAGGAAAAAGTTCGTAGTATTTTACAAGCTTTCTGAAGTGGCAACGGAAGAAAACATTTAATACCGTAAGATTTTGTAAGCGATCTTAGTTAGCATTGGCAATCTTTAATGTCTTTTTTGATTCGTATTCTAATAAAATAATGAGAACATGTGTTTCTAATGAGATGAGTAAAATTTTGTCACTCAGAATAAAAGAGTGAAAGGGTAGGGGACAGGTCCCAAGGAAGGAAAAACCTGTCCTCGGTCCTAGTCAACGTTAAAAGTTGCGGTGATTTTGCGGATAGCCTCCATTGTAAGATTTATTAGTATTGTTAGAGTGCAGTTTTGCGACTGCTGCTGGTCCTTGCACGCCATCCTTTGCATATTGCTGCCACATCATCTGTTCTTCAACCAAAAACCTCTGCTTCTTCTCCATATCTGACATTTGAACGTAAGAGGGAGGAGCCACAGCCAATGAAGCTGCAAATGGATCTGAATTGGAATCTCCAGGTCCTGATGTTGGGGGTGCTGGCAATGCTAGCATTGAAGGCCTTCCAGCCGAACCAAGTGCCACACTACTAGAACTTCCATTCATCCCATACCCTGGTCCTTGCATGACTCTATTCACCTCTGCGTGTTTATACATGCCATCCAACAACAATGTATCAAAGCCACCACTATATGTAGGCTTTTGGTTGGACAAGTTGGATGTTGATTGCACAAGTGCTGTTTCCCAATCTGCCTCTTCATCAAATGCATGCCATGGAAGCGCTTGTGTGGAACCTGCTCCTCCTGCTGCTGCTTCTCCATCAAACAAGGCCAAGGTTAGTTTATCCCCTTGTGATTCACTAGTCATCGCGTCATCTCCTAAATTCAATAAATCACCCTCTGTCTGCACTATTTTTTCTTCCTTTGGCTCCTCCTTCACTTCTTCAACCGCTTCCTCCTTGATTTCCTCAGGCGGTGGTAGTGCCTTCGTTGCATTAGGATCCTCTTCCGGTTCTGGTTCCGGTTCCGGTTCCGGTTCCTTCTCTTCTTCCTCCTCTACGTTTTCATTCATATTTTGTAGTAGTTCAGGTCTGTTGCATTGCGCTAAGGCGGACTTGTCCTTGATAAACTCTTCCATGACCTCTAACTTCTTTAACGTGATCCTTTCAATCTCAGGGTACTCCGAAGAGCGTGCGATTCCAATGTTCCTAGACCATCCGTAGAAGAGGTCTAACTCCTCAAATTGCTTCCCAACGCGGCAAAAAATGTCATACACCTTCACACACTCCTGTACCTCCATGTCAGGGAACCGATCAATCAAGATAGACAGTATATCTGATATATCATAATATATCTGAAAACTCTCCTTCACTAGCGGGTAGAGAGCCACTATCACAATACGATGGTTCTTTGCCGCCCCTGTTGCATTGAAATAACCAACAATAAGATTGCTTTATAAAACAAGACATTCTGATCATTCATGATAGAAATGCATCTCTAAACCAGAATGTGAACTTATTGATTTATAAAAGGCTACTTGAAAGAAAATCCCAATTACAGACCTGTAGGGCGGCAAGCTAAAAAGCGCTCAAGCAGCAAATGCAAATGCTGCATTTTGGAAAAGATTTGCTCTAACTTCATGTCACGTACTGGTGTGGATCTTACACCCATTTCTCGTTCTTTTTCTATTTCTGCTTCTCTTTCTCTCTCTTCATCTTCATCAACACTATACCTGCCGCTTTTCCCACGCCGGCTTTGCATCTTGTACTCAAGCCTTTCATCTAGAAACAATGCAGAGGTGCGCACAAACGCAGAGAAGTCCCACGAACCAGATTTGGAGTTGTCACGAAAATCAGACATGTTGAGAAGGCGAGTCCCGCGTCGAGTGGAGAAGAAAATTTCCTGCTCATACGCAGGATCACCGTCTAATAGCAGCCTTTCAATCAAAATGAGCGTTTTCAAAGCCACAGTCCAGCTCCTAGTCTTGTTGAGACGTCTTGCAAGGGTGTTAACACATGCAGTGATGAATGCTCGAGAGTAACACGTGAGGCTCAGAATCTCCCTTATGTACTTCTCTTCTGCAGGGTATTCATCGTGCCTCGTTGCCTTCACAATGGCCACATCAAGGTCTGCAAGCGAGGCGCTGCTTCCCACCTTCGCTAGGCCTATGCTTGTTTGATCCTTAACTGCCCCTAGGGCTCTTCTCAGCTTTGAGTTTTGTGGCATGCTTTGCTTTATTACCTCCTAGATATTCTAATTTCCGACCCTAACGCTAAAATATCTTCAAAATCACCACACCCTGCAAATTTTTTTTCAACGTTCTATTTCAAATTGTAAGATTTATGTATGATGGTAAGGACAAAAAGTAAGGATGCTTTTGGAATCCAACCTGCTTCGAGAGCACCGGAAGGAGGTAATTAAGATTTTTCAACGATTTTTTTTTCTTAATCACAAATGTTTACGGATATCTCTGGCATGTATAAAATGCTGTCTTTGTTGGAATCTTCATGCCAGATGTTGTTACAGGAAAATGAAAAAAAGAAGATAAGAAAGGAAAAGGTAGATAGATTTTTCTATCTCTTTCTTTTCTTACTCTGTGAGATTACAACCCCTAAGCTCAAATTGGGTAAAAATTCCCCGTTTTCTTAGCATAAAAACGTGGGAAACAAAGGAAATGCAATGATATTATTGTATGCGTTAATACCCATTTGAAACCAGTTTGACTCTACTCATCACAACTGGGCTTTGCCATATTTGGTAGGCTAACTTCACCCTTTGACCTTTTCAACGTCAACCCACCACTAAAAATATGTTTAATATTTTTTTCTCTCTTTATCTGATTTTTTTTTTCGATTTAGTGTCACTATTTTGAAAGGTGTAATTTTTTCCTAATTTGATTGAAAAGTAAATTATTTGTTATTTTCTTTTTGATTTGGTGTTTATGCATTCTTCTCGTTTAATTGTCATAAGAAATCATATCTACCCAATATTTTAATCACAATGGTTAAACACTGCAACATTATTCATGGCAAAATGATATTACCAATATGAAGCAAATATTGAATCCACGGACTCCATCAACACACATTAACTAAAAAACAACCTTAAACCTCAGTTAACATTTACACAAATTTACCCAAACCAAACAAGCTAGAGGTGTGATCCTTTACACAAATGAAGTGCCCATTGAGAAGTTGAAAACATAAACAATAAGAACGTATAAATTTAGAATATAAAGCAGAGGAAGCTTTCCACCTAAAAAATAACAAAACCAGAAGCCATAAATCACTTCATTATTGGTTGCTTATTTACTTCAATTGAATTGTGAACACACTGTCCTGATTTCTCCAAGGAATCCTGTCTTGACACCAATTTGGCCCATCCTCACGAATGAATCAACAAAATCAGCTTCAAAAGAAGGCTCAAACATTGGACCCAAGGGAGAAAAGTAAGAGTCAATGACATTCTTTGTGGCTATGTCATCATTGAGTCTGGCATCAGATTCTAACACAGCAAAACCTTCCTTTATGTTCTTCAGAATGTGTACGTCAAAATTCTGCTCACTGCCCTCGTCAATGGCTAGCCTAACATTAACATCTCCATTCTGAGGGCACTTTGCTTGCAACTGTGGGAGAAAATTTGGACTAATTGATGGGTCTGATCCTCCACCACTTGGAAAAAAGTTGTACAGTCTTTTAGTCATAAAGAAGCATGCTGTGGTTCCAATTGTATGTGCACCTGAGATTGTTTTCAAAACTCACAATATTACACGAAAAAGAAAACACCAACTTTTACAATCTTTAACCAAGCCAAGTTTTCTTTACTTGCTTATTATTCTGGCTTACATATATTTGTCACTGTCATAACAGTCACCTAGCTAATTTACCATAAATTCTAGTACTTATACGTTCTCAGTTAATCAGAATACACAAAATAAATATGTAAGAGAAAGGGACAAACAAGCATATCTCTATCAATACCAATACCAATTAATGTGGATTGCAACTGTAACTCTGCATGTGCAACATTTGTAAGATAAGAACTGTCATCTGCCACAATTTTGCATTGGGTTTGATACGAAACTTTAAGCGGTCAATGAATTAGGTGAAACCAAAGCTAAGTATAAAAGAAAAGCGAAATGAAAGCTGGCACACATAATAATACCAATGAATCCCTATTCTTACAGCTATATAAAATTAAATATGTCCTCATGATAAGACATAAATTAAATAAAGAAGTCTCACATGTATCATTTATCATCCATCAAATAGAAAACATGATAGATCTTTTAGCAAAAATTATACTAAACAGATATAAAGGGAACATATGCAACTTTTCAGAATCATAGGTACTAAGTTTATGAATAAATTAAAGTGGTAGCTGTTATGGCAAGGTTTCTTGAAAGGTGAAAATTTGTCAAAAAAAGGAAAAGATTACTTAAAAAGATGATGATCTCATATCATATATTTGAACAAAAGATATCGTGTTTCAAAACAATTTCTGCAAAATAAGTTATACTCTCTTTTTTCTTTATCTTCTTCATCACAATTTCTCTTTCTTCGTTCCTTGGGTCTTTCTTTCAAAAGAAATGCTAGTATAATTTATGGTATAATTAGAAATTGTCTTCTGGTAATTCCTAGGACTTCAACATCAATTTCCCAAATTGGCACAGGCTTTCGTTGTATTGTAAAGCGGAGAGTAACATCTGCTAAAATAGTTTAATATCATAGGTTTGGTAATTTGGCCATAGCAGGTCTTTTAATTTGGTTTTTTTTGCCAAGGTTCATATAATTTTTCATCTTCAACAACCATGTTCTCACCTATTCAGCATGACAAAGATAGCATAGTGTGTGAGAGAGTACCACTGAGAAGAACAAGGTCTTTCACTGTGAGACCCTTGTTCAGAAACTTGGTCTTGAGTAGCTCAATTGAATCACTAACATCTGGCATGTCATCTGCAAGAGAAACATTTGAAACCAACCCATCTCTCCTCCCTGTTGGAACTTCATATGTTGGTCCATTCGCCTACGTTCATATCAAACATTATCTAAGTCGCAACTTACAAGAACAAACTCTTCCATCAGCAACAAGAGAAAAAGCATGAATTAACTAATAATAATGAAGTTAGTTAGTACCAAAACAATAGCCTCTCTAGCTGCCAATGCCACTATGTCTGCACAAGAAACCACACCAGGACAAGATCCTTCCAATTCTGCCTTGGCTTTTTCTATCACATCAAACCCTCTAACCCCTTGATGTCCAAATGCGTGTCTCTCTGATTCTGGACCATTCTCAATCAGAATTGAACCATCACAACCCTGAAATTATCCCATCCATTTCAACCGTTGAAGCCAAAAGAAAATAGCACCATGTTATGTATACATAAATATCAATAATACAGTTATATTATTCAGAGAGACCTCAACAAAGCAGTCATGAAAATGAAGTCTGAGCAAGACAGCAGCCATGTTGGTATCAGAGAGAGCAGCTTCTCTAACAACGTCACGGACAACGGAATCTACCTGAGGACAAGTGTTGGAGTAGAACCCTACCTCAAGCTGACCATCAGAACAACCCATTAAGAATGAGAAGAATAAGAGAGACACAACAAAGAGCACCGTCATCACTGCGAGTGCAACTCTGTAGATGAAATATAACTAGTTATAAGCTAACACACTAATTAATATATATATATATATATATATATATATATATATATATATATATATATATATATTTATTGTTGAAACTATCGAAAAGAAGATTCATCATAAAACATAAACATTAATAACATTTGAGTCTAATTATGTAACGTATTAACACTATTTTTTATTCAAAATCTTAAAATAATAGATTAAGAATCTTTAATTTAATGTGAGAATTATACACACACTTAATTCCTAATATATATATATATAATAATATTTGTTCTCAACACAAATACATAAATGGTTATTTTATAATGATGCTAATGCGAGGAAGAAAAGGTGTTGATGAGGCTGAAATAAATAGACATAGAAATTCATATTGTAGACGGCAAGTTGTCAATAAGTTGGCCACGTTTCAACCAGTGCATGACTCTTGTGATTATCACTTCTCCTTTACTTCTGTTACCAAAGTCAATTCTGCATCCTTTTCATTTATCCTCTTTTATAAAAAAATGCATGATTCAGTTGCACGCACTTCAACCTCTCTGTTACCAATTATTACAACTCACTTCATTTATTTGAGAAAATTACGTGAATTAAAGTTTTTCTTCAGCAATCCGCGTAATAATAAGTCAACTATAAGGTTCAATGCTTGCTATTATTTTAGTACAATTTCAGTTATACTTAAAATACTTACTGTACTATATTACTGTGTGCTTTCTATTTTATATTGGTAATGCATCTAAGCAGAGTTATTCTTATATTTTAAGAAGTGTAAATGAAGGTCATTGTCATTTATGAAAAGCCTAGTGTTGGTTAGTGGCAATTTAAATTAAATTTGAATAGTTCTTAGTGAGTGTGATATTCTAATAACTAAATATAGAGAAGTGTGATAATCTTGTCCCTCCAATTAAGCACAAAGATTATAAAAAAAAGTTGTATTTTTTTAAATAAAAAAAATTAAAATATAGAAGATAATGTCAAATGTAAAAAATTTCTATGTATCAAAGTATAATTTGTCTTTGAAACTTTCATGCTGGTATGAGTCAGCATTTTATTGAGGTGTGAGTCACTGTTTGGGGTGGCCTACCTTCTCCCTTCTATTTGTTTCGTATAATGTTCAAAAATGTCTTTTTAATAATTTTCTTTTTGACAATTTTTTTATAACCGTCTGTGTTATTACGTGATTAGTACATTTTAAAATTGGTGTTAGCTTGTCATTAGTACGTTTCAAAATTGGTTCATCTATAATGTTTCAAGTTAATAGTAAAACTTTTTCTATTTTAAATTTTGTTTCTGTAAATCCTATATAGGCATATACAGCTCAGCATACAGTTACTCTTTCCACGTACATATACAATAATGGTAGAGTTCATAAGGCATAATATATGATATATATGATGAAGTGATATAAAGCATACATCCCATTTATATGAGTGATGAAATGATGAAATGCATTATTATTGAACATTTTCAGAAATATCTGTAATTGAAGGTTTCAACTTTGAGGATAAACCTCTCTCTGCTGCTCCCAGTGAGGGTTTATCGTTTAACGGTTATTCCCTTCTGCATCCTCAATCCTGCGATTGTTTTGAACTGGTAAAGTCTCAGACTTTAATCATCTTTTGATTCGTTTTGCATTTTTCCTTAGTTTGTTTTCATGTCAACTCAGCATCGGCGCTTATCAAATACGAAAATCATTTATCCTGTGTTGTTGAATAGGGCCTTGTGAGGAAACCCTAATTAGAAAGCTGGTGTTTTTACATTTTAATTGATTCTTGTTTTTTGGAATATGAAGATTTGGGATGTGCTTTTAATGAATGGTGTCTCCATCTGTGAGTGAATGCAATTTGATAATTTTCTGAACTTATGTTCATTTTTCTGGTCCTTTCATTCGTTGGTGTTGGGTATGGTAAGCCTCATCCTTCACTCAGGTTATCTCTCCCCTTGTTATTGTATATGCCATTCACTTCTCATCTATGATGGAAACGGACACAAAATAACAGCTAAATAAAACAAACAAACCCACATAAAGATGGAAAGAGAGTGGGCTGCCTTGCTACTGTAGAATCAACAACAGAAGGCTATATCATCGTCAGTCCCCTCCCCCCTCCCTTGCAATTAAAATTTAACAAACATTACTCGTGGGAATTTTGGTTCCTTGTGGAGTTGTTCAATGCTTATAACATGAACATTGGAAGTCTATGAACTTATTAAAATCGTCCTTGCAGGTTTGTGCTATTTTAAAAGTGAAACAGACTGAGTGTGAACTGTTGACCTGGCATGGCAAGCTTGTTGACAACATCGGTCATCAGCTATTGTCCTGTGAACAATGGTTCCAGGGGATTTGGAAAGTCGGGGAATTTTTCTAAAGGAAGTCATTGGATAAAAGCGGTGAAGATAGAGAAATCCTTGGAGGAATTGTACAATGTGAAAGTGGAAAGAAAAGTGTCTCCTGAGAGACTAACTGAGCTTGGAGTATCAAAATGGTCAGTGTGGAAGAGTGGGAAAAGCAAGCTTCCCTGGGACTGGCAGGTAGACCAACTGGTGTACATTGAAGAAGGGGAAGTGAGAGTTGCGCCTCAAGGAAGCAAGCGTTTCATGCAATTTTTGGCTGGAGACTTGGTCCGGTACCCAAAGTGGTTTGAAGCTGACCTCTGGTTCAATGGCCCATATCAAGAACGTTATAGTTTTAGAGCATATGGTGATGATTAAAGTAACATCCACGTCTTATCTGGATGTTTCAAGTAATTGACGTGTTATGTAGTTTTAGTTGTCCAGTTCTAATTGCAATGTCAATATATTTGACTGATTGCGATACTTCACTCTCTTCTAAAAGATTTGGTACTAATTGCTTATGTTGTATCCTTTTTCATGTTTTTGCCTTTGCAAGGAAAGACTTCCCGATGAGTTTATCCAGACCAACTTGATATTCCATCACTATACTAAGCTCGCAGATGATTTTTGTTTTTCAAAACCTATCAACATAAATATATATTTTAAGGTAATGCAAACGTGTACAAGTAAGAAAGATATCTCTTTATAAAAATAAGAGCACACATTAACTTGGAGCCGTGTATGTTCAACTCTATACTCGGAAAATCACTCACCGGATGGGATAGGTGTATGGAAACATTGTGCTTAGTGGAGGGTCTACTATGTTTCCCGGAATTGCTGATCGTATGAGCAAGGAAATCAGTGCTCTAGCACCAAGCAGCATGAAAATCAAGGTGGTTGCACCTCCCGAGAGAAAGTATAGTGTCTGGATTGGTGGTTCTATCTTGGCATCGCTTAGCACCTTCCAACAGGTTTGTACTGATTCTTTTCTCAATTCAACAGAACCCCTAACCCCTCCCCTTGTGTAATTATTACGAATAAAACTGATTAGTTTATGGAAGTCATTGGATTTTTACTTTTTTCTACTGTATATAGATGTGGATCTCTAAGGGTGAATATGATGAATCGGGGCCAGCTATCGTTCATCGGAAGTGCTTCTAAGTTGGGTCAAGTTGAACTGAACGGTTATCAAGTTCTGCATGCATCCGATCCTGTTTCATATTTCAGTCAAGTTTGGTTGAATTATTTGATATTTCATGCTTTTGGGTTTTTGATAGATATATCTAGTTTAATGAATGGATTTATAAGTTGAGTATGTAATATGTTTCTCCGTTAGGTTCTTGAAGCCAGACTTTTTATGCAATTGGCGGATGGTATTGGAACTCTGTAGGTTCTGCTGGGTTTGATATTCCTTTTCTTCGTTTTTCATGCTGTGGCCAAGAATTAGGTGCCTCGGTTTAGAAGGACGATAAGTTTAAGGATATTTTCTCCCAGGTGGATTTTTGAGTCAGTTTCTGTTTATTAGTTATATACCTAATTGGTTTTATGTTTGCAATACTCTAAAGGAATGTTTTTATTTTGAGTTTGTGTGATCAATCGTTCATACACCATATGGTTAAAACTTAAATGAAATCTATTTGTATACGCCTGTGGCATATATTTAAACAGGGATAGAGTTTAGTGCGTATATGCTCCCTGCCTTTCGATATTCCAGAAAAAGGTTCACGAGGAACGAAAGATGGACCCTGCCTTAGTACCATGATGCTGTTCGAGTTCGATCCATCAACCGAACCTTAATGGTACTCAGTCCTGATGAAAAGTGTACTTTTTTTCACTTCTTTTCAAAGTTGATGTATATTTTCGTCTAGCATTTGCTCTAGAGATTTGCTTATTTCTGATCACTTTCATCTTTCTTTGGATTTTCGTAGAAAGGGGATGAGTCAGACAAGGCGAGGATGTTGTCATCCTTATCCTAATAAAGATTGAGTGGGAAATATAGTACTTACGATATTTATAAATGGACTGGAATTGCAAGATCAATGGAAGTTGCACTTGTTTTCTTCAGTATTATATAAAAAATAATAACGTGAAATAAATGAAAAGCTTACATGCTTATATTGTTTCTTTTTCTTTTCTTTATCTTTCATGTCTCAAGACTCTAAAGGAAAGATACCAGAATAAAAAACATGAATCTATCGAAATTATCCTAATGTCAATATAAAATGATATTAAATTATAAAAACAAGAATCATTCATTGTATTACATTATTAACAATCTGAATTTATATCATAATTAAAATATACTTCCGTGCGTTTCGGTGGAAGATCTGTTTCCTTGTCTAGCTGTCTTGTACTTTTAAGCTTTAATCATCCGTATACATCATTATAGTCTGCAAAAGCTTTTGAATCGTTACATTCTAGACAACTGACTTTGCTGTAATAAAAAATGAGTTCTTAAAAGTAATTACTTGATTTTTAATTAATAACTATTATTTTTATTAATTATTCATTAATAATTATGTCTAATTCAATAATTATTAATATATAACTTTTATTATTTTTAATTAATAACTATTATTTTTATTAATTGTTCTTTAATAATTATTATTGTTCATATTAGTTATCAATTAATTACTATTTTGAATATCTACAGTTTCTTTTTGAGTGGATGGTTACACTGTAATATTTTCAGACGGTTGTCTAATAAAAAATGTCATATATAATTAGATTATCCTTGATAACAATTTTTAAATTAATTGATAATAAAAAAATCTTTCCTGTATCTACATAAAAATTCAATATAAAACCATTTATTCTAAACAAGCTGTCTATGATTTGCGTGTAAATCTCATCCTTTCCCTCCATTTTCTTCTTTCCTTCCCTTCTCACTCAAAGGTATGAGAATAGTTCGTGATACAGCATCATACCCATGTGTCATTCCTATCATCTCGTTGACATAACTTTCTCATGCCCCAATTCTCTCAATTCGTAAAAATCTTTAATCCCTAAATATTGGTATAAGTAGGATACTCTAATCGTCTTTCATTCATTCCAGCAACTTCTTTTCTTAAAAAGAGGTACCTTTCTTTAGTTGAATTTGCGTGTATTGCTGCTGGTATTCACACAGAACATTGAGAAAGAGAGAAGGGAAGAAGGATGGATCACCAAGCTGACACTAACAGAACTGATTTGATGACTATCACACGCTTTGTTCTGAATGAACAGTCTAAGTATCCCGAATCACGTGGTGATTTCACCATCCTTCTCAATACCATTGTTCTTGGTTGCAAATTTGTTTGTTCTGCTGTTGGCAAGGTGTTTTTTTTCCTCCAACCATACACATCATTTTCTTGGACACTGGGGAAACTGTTATTTTTACCGGAAAAAAAAAACATAGTTTTCCCCCGTCCAACTTTATGTTCTCATGATTTGACATTTTCTTTTTGGAGCATTTATCTTTACATATTTTGTTGGGCACTTTTTCTGGCAGGCTGGGTTGGCTAAACTCATAGGACTTGCTGGAGAGACCAATGTTCAAGTGAGTTCTATATTTCTCATTTTCGAAATAACCATTGACATAAATCGCTAGTGTGTATGAATAGGGACAACTAGCTTTTGAGTCCAAATCCAAATTTTAGATACCATATCAAAGTTTAGCAAATTTTTCTATGTTAAGGATCTCACGAATTAACTAATGATATTAAAATACTGTACATAATTATAGTTACAATCCTTTAGTTTTTGGGATGATCCAAACACAAAGTAATGATATATTTTCTTAATTACACTATTATGCTTTGGTGTTTTATCATATTAGGAGTAAGTATGCCTTTTGTAGGGGGAGGAGCAAAAGAAATTGGATGTACTTTCAAATGAAGTATTTGTGAAAGCCTTAATTAGCAGTGGACGCACAGTAAGTGTGTTTATAGTTCTTGTTTTTTCATTCTCCTTTTCTTTAAATTTAAGTTTGACTCCGTGCAGCCTTTGGGCATATTTTCTCGTAAAAATCCAATCTGTTGTCTTGACAGTCCGTTCTTGTTTCCGAAGAAGTTGGAGAGGCCATATTTGTGCCACGATCACACCGTGGCAAGTCAGTTCAAAGCTCTAGAACCAACTAATACTCCATCTTTTAGTGGTTTTGATAAAATACATTATCTGATCAAAGTTCCTTTTGATTTTGTAGATACATTGTTGTGTTTGATCCTTTGGATGGATCCTCAAACATTGACTGCGGAGTTTCTATTGGAACTGTATGAATTTTTTTTAACATCAATTGCCAAACAAAATTGCTGCATTTAAAAACAGAAAACATTATAATAACTGCCAGCATTTTTTCTGTTGCACATAGATCTTTGGAATTTACATGGTAAAGAATGAGGCTAAAGTAAGTCTTGAAGATGCAATGCAACCTGGAAACCAAATGCTAGCAGCAGGTTACTGCATGTATGGAAGCTCTTGCACGGTAAAACAGACAAAATCTGTGAAACACGACTTGTATAACTATTAAAAAAAATATTTCCTTTTCACAACGAATTTCAAGGTTGTCCTGTTTTTCTTATACCAACATAATTAGAAGTTCCCTATTTTTCTAGTCACCAATATATGATGCTGATTGAATAAATTAATTATGGAATTGCAGTTCGTGCTTAGCACAGGAAATGGAGTGAATGGTTTTACACTCGATCCTTCCCTTGGGGAGTTCATATTAACTCACCCCAACATCAAGGTATATGCAATTGGCCGTGAAATTGGTATATCAAGTTATTAGAATTTTTAGCAGGAAATTCTAAATTTTCTTCTATGTAATAAGGCGTAGTAGTATCAAGATGTGTACATGTGACTCCAGAGTCCAATTCATCCTTGCTCTGCACACATTGCACATAATTTTTTGTGTATCAAACGTTAGACTGTTAAAGCGAGCTTTCAATTTTGTTTAATTACTGTGTCACTTGCATAGATACCAAGGAAAGGAAATATTTATTCCGTGAATGAAGGAAATGCCAAAAACTGGGATGAACCAACCACTAAGTAAGTTATGGAGACCTATTATTTGAAATCTAATTGAACCCGAAATAACTGATTTAATTTATTAATAATTCCTTTCATAAATGACAAAATTCTTGACACTTTCTGTTCCAGATACGTACAAAAGTGCAAGTTTCCTCAAGATGGTTCACCACCAAAGTCTCTTAGGTACATAGGAAGGTATTTGATTCTGAACTTCTTGTAGTATCTTGGCCTTCTTTTATATGTCTTCATTTCAATTCTAACAATGATGAGCAACACAGTATGGTTGCTGACATCCATCGAACATTGCTTTATGGTGGTATCTTCATGTACCCTGCTGATATAAAGAGTCCACATGGAAAGCTACGGTATGATGTACTTTGAATTAGCTTCTAGGAAAACCATCTCTCACCTACACTTTTGCATATTCAATTTTCCAAATCAAGACGTGTTTTCTGAGTTACATGACTTATTTATGGGATTTCACTGTGAAATCAGGATTCTGTATGAAGTATTTCCAATGTCATATTTGATGGAGCAAGCAGGAGGTCAGGCTTTCACAGGAAAACGACGGGTATGCCTCTCATTTTCCTTTCACCTGATAGTTTATTATTGCAAACACTCTAGCTCAAATGCAATGTTAATATCCAATAGTAAAAAACTAAATAACTTAGACGGCAGTACATGCATTTTTGCTTCTTGAACTTAACATGTGGATCATAATTTGATGTCACTTCTGATGGATCCTTTTTTGAATTCTTTTACGTATCAATGTTTAAGCAACTACAATAAATTCTAGGAGGTTTTGAAGCATTATATGTGTATACATTCCTTATTTATGAATGGATTGGCAAATTGCAGGCTCTTGACTTGGTTCCAAGAGAATTACATGAACGATCACCAATATTCCTAGGCAGTTACGATGACATTGAGCAAATCAAAGAGCTTTATGCATCATCCAAAGCAGATGGTGCATGAATATTGTCTTTCAATCTTTGAATCTTTTCTTTCATGTGTTAACATATATTTGTTCTTGGGCTCTTGAAAGTTCATTGGATATCACAACATTTAACCTTTTGTTTAATAAAAAAATTTAAAAGGAAACAAATGGGTTAAAAGTTTCTTTTTTTCCTTTTAATTAAAAACCTCATTAAGTTGTAAAGATAAAGTGACTTAACCTGTAAAACTAGATTTTTATTCCCAACTATTGCACTTGTCTATGAAAATTTTCCGGACAGAACAGAACACACGGTTCTGAAAACTAAATTTTGACCTTCTCTTAATTAATAAGAACAAAATGTTCTAAAAGGAAAAAATAATGTGAGAAGTTTTCAAGAATCAAATTCTGACCTCTCCAAAATAAATTGTACTATTATGATAAATGGAGATGAGAGTATGCTTCATGAAGAGCTATTATAGAAATCTATGCTAGTTAGGGGAAAAAATCTCTAAAGTCATTAATTTTTGTGAAAAAAAAAGGGAAAAGTCTGACATGATGCATCACAGCATAAAAAAAAGTCCATCTCAATATTTCTGGAGATCCCTGATTTTGGATTCATTTGGATTAGATAATTTTTTTTTTAATTTTAACACTTGGAACCAAATAAATTCAATCTAATTTGCATCACCGTTGGTAACAAAGATTTGACGAAAAAATTAAGTGTTGGAAAGATCATATATATAGATGATCAACTATATGAAAATGCTTTTGTGAGAAAGGTTATATCCCAATCTTTCATGGTTAAAATTATTTAATCTTCTCATAAGAAAGTCAAATAAATCGCATGTCAATCAAAGTTTAGTCAATTATATGAAAATAAAATTAAATTTAGTCAAGTAAATTATGTGGAAAGAAAATTAACATTGATTCTCCTTGCTTATACTATATATCATCACTTAAACTACATGAATTCATTAATAAGTAACAAACTTTCGTAATCAACTTAAAAATCTTACTCTTCTTCATTACTTGACCAACTATTATTTTTGGACATTAAGAGTTTTATATCAAAGATAATTGATTTATATCTCTCATTTAAACTTCAATTTATAACTTGATTAAAGAGGTTTATTACTTGAGTGAAAAATTAAACACTCAAGTATATTTCTTTGTTTTGGATATATATATATATATATATATATATATATATATTTGACCTTATAGTATTACTATTACTACTATTAAATTATTTTGACCTTATAGTATCTTATGTAGTAATGCAATCTAGATCAAATAAAACTTTAATTATATTCAACAAGCACATTGAATTGATCTCAGATTAATCAAATATGTTGAGTTTAAGTTTATTAATATATAATTACATGAAAAAGTATTGATTAAGTTCTCATTTTGAAATCAAGTAACCTGAGATATTAGGTGGAAATAAAATTTAGATTTTGTGGACATTTAATATCTATAGTAATAATTGTGTATACATGAATAGGTAAGTTAGACGCAATCTCAAAAGGAGAAGGCAATGGTGGGCGCTGTCTAAAAGCATAATTAAGACAGACATTAAATAAGTGAGAAAACCAAACTTTCCAATTTTAGTTTGGTTTTTACAACATGCTAATGCCTTTTATGACTAAGCTTCCATCAAGGTAAACCTATGACCCTTTTTCATTTTTCACCAATTAATGGAATTATCAGACCCCACTACACTTTTTCTGCATTTTTCGTCTCCATCTTTCTCCTCTATTGTGTCTTCATTTATGTTAATCAAATCTACTCCTAAGATTCAAATTGGTATTTGCTTCTTATATAATTCATTTTTAATGGTTTTTCTATCCCTAGTTTGATCTTATATATTGATCTAGTTCATCTATTTATTTTAAAATATTTTATATTCAAGTCACAGTATTTTAAAATATTATAATTAAATATCAGATGTTAACAAAATGGATAAAACTAGAGGAGTTCCAACAAACTTAACTTAATATCAATTACGAAATTTTGATAGTTAGTACAAGAAGTTTAAGTGTGTATATCACATAATTTCAGTAGTAATTTTTGTTTTTATGTTTTATATTTTTATCTTTATTATCATTTATGCAATATATCATTGACAATTTGGAGACGGATAATTGAAAAAAAATATCTTATTTATTTTTTCCTTATCGTCATTATTATTTTATGTGGGTAATGAATTGCTAATATAGTATCATAGTTGCAAAAAAATGTATGTTTTTTTTTTTAATTTTGGATAGTTGAAGTATTATTATTTAAAAAATTATAGTATTTTATGGAAATGGGTTCTCTTTTGACTGTGTTATAAAGATAAATTAAGTGCTTCTCTTGCAGGCATGAATTTTTTTTCCTTCTATACCAAATAAGAAAGAAAATAATAATTATACAAGCATTTCTTTTGAGGAAAATATTGCATATAATTATGTCTCAAGAGATTCAAAGAATGAATATTCTACTTTTATTACTCTAATAGAAATACAAAATGTTTATATTCAATTTTTTATTATTAATATAAAAAATATTACATTGTAAAATTACAAATAACTTTTATTTCTTTAATATTGTTTTATATTAATAATAATAATATAACCTTACATTTCTCAACATATAAATATAAAAAAATAAAATAACTAATAACCATAACACCTAATTAATGAAAAATAAAATAAAATAAATTTAATTTAAAAATATAAAAATTTTAATACTCAATGGACATAAAAAATTAATAGACATTCAATTGAAAATATTCAAGTTTATTAATAACTCAAAACTTAATTAAGCCAAAAATATACTACACAAATTTAATAAATATTATAAAAGAGAATATAAATATAAAACTGTAAAATAATTTAATAATAACTATGTACAAAAGTTACAAGCTATTAAAGTTTGTTTACAAAGTAATATGGATTCAAACTAACTTTTTCTATAAGCATAAAAATTAGTTAAAGTTTATCGTCAAACATAAACCAAAACCACACTAAAAAACATTACAAATAAAAAATTAGACTAAACTTTAAAAAAAATGAAGACTCTTAGATTTTTTGTAAAAAATGTAAGAGAAATTTAACTATAACCTGATTAAAAAATTTAATTACATCTCTACAATGCATGAATCCATTTAATATCTTCTTGTTTTACAGTGAATAAAAATAGAAAAGTAAAAGAAAATATGAAAATATAAGAAACATATATATATATATATATATATATAGTGAGTTATATTTTTTAATTATATAGTAAATAGTAATAAAATGTTCATAATACAAATATGTATATGTTTATGTTATATAACTGATTGCGTTAAATTATAATTTTTTATGTGAGTAATATTTTATTGATATTTATAATAATATTTTAATAAAATAAATAAATAAATTTGATTTTTACTTATTTTATTTTTTGGTAAAAATAATGTTAGTTCACTTTTTTTTCATTCTTTCAATCCACTAAACCAACATAGGTTTTGATTATAAGTATTTAAGAAAAAATATTGTTAAAAAGGTAATGTAAGAAAAGGTAGAAGAAAGAAAAAACCATAAGTTATTTAATAAGTTTAAAGTAGAAAAGGACAAGTTGTTCACAGGTGATAACGGGAGGAGGTTGAAGAATCTGGAGATTGACCTAGGAAAAGAGGTTTGACACGTGTCAGGCTAGAGCAAAAAGTGTGTGGTATTTTGACACTAACGACTGAGAAAATGACATGTGAAAGAAACAAAGAAGGGCTCTTTCTACTTTGGAATCTGCCCCCTAATAAAACCCTACCTCACAACACCATTTCCCAACAATAATAAAACTCTCAATTAACTTCTCGACTCTTCTCTATTACACTCTCTACTACTTTTCAATTTCGTGTTTAACAACCCACTACCCACTCAGATTCACTTCTATTCATATTATATATAGTAATTTGCATTTTTTGAAATTGTCATTACAAAACAGAACCATGAAGAATGCGTGCAATGTGGTGCAGGCCATGAAACCCACCCTGCTAATGCTGGTGGTGCAAGTAGCATTTGCCGGAGTTAATATCTTCTACAAGCTTGCCGTCAACGATGGCATGAACTTGAAAGTCATTGTTGCCTACCGTTTTCTTTTTGCCACCGCTTTCATTGTTCCACTTGCTCTCATTCTTGAAAGGTACCATTTCTGTTTTTCACACGTTTAAATTCTTATGTAGTTTATTTCTTTCTTTCACGTTTGATTGTGTTGTTTCATGTTTGATTGTCTTGTTTCTTACAGACTCACTTTAATAAATTAGGAAACACAAAACAAGGTCACATGTTTCTTTTGTTTGATTGGCAGGAAGAAGAGGACAAAGATGAATTGCACCATACTGTTTCAGTCATTTCTTTGCGGCTTATTTGGGTATATGTTGTCGTTTAACTGTTCAGATGCGATTTTCTTGTTCCTTAGCTATCTATTCTTGGTACTCTTCTCTAGATTAAGAATGTTAACCAACTGATTTTGAGCCAAATACATATTATGTAAAATGATTATGAGTTTTGTAGACTGTGTTGGCACAATGAATTTGTATAAGTACATAGCAATATTTACACATGGAACTATTTTTTACCAGCTGTCTCCCCCTCACCTGGCAAGTTTTCAGGAACTTATTTATTACAAATTATGAATATACTATTACTAATAAATACTGACTCAATTATTAAAATCATTTTTTTATCTCTATTTGACAATATTTTTCTCAAAATTATAATTCAAACACTTGACATTTAAAAAGACTTAATTTAAATGATTGTAATTTAATAATATTCTTTCTTAATTAAAAATAGCGTGATGTGAGAACATAAAGTAGTAGAGATGATGAAATGTCTGATATTCTCCAAATACAAGTAAATTAATTATATGAATTGCATAGGATGTGTATATTCGTAAATTGAGTGTATGAGTTACGCTATTAGTCTAAATATGTCTTTCTATCTTTAATAATATTATTAAATTTTTAATAATATTAAGTTTTTTGTCTTTACTCTTTCTTATGATAAACTTTTAATCAAATCAAATAAATTTTAGAATACATATATAATATGTTTATTTATTTTTAAGATTTTTATTTATTATATTTTTATTTGTTGTTTTATTTATTTTTATATAATA